AACAACAACAACAACAACAACAACTGGGGTAGGCCTTCTTTTGGCTCGTGCCGCCAGCCATTTCACTCCAGTAGGCCGCGGTGTGGAACTTTCGGCGCATTAACGGCTGCGTAGGAGAAAAAAAGCTGAGCGAAGTACCGGTGGTTTAACGAGTTGTGGTGAAAAGGTATTTTACTGCAGTAACTGTTCTATGGTCTTACAGACTTGTTTGCCTTCTATTTAAACCGCCAGTACACGGCCTGAGCCTTACTGAAAATGTTTCGTCACCTGGTCCGAAAATGAGTGGCAATGGCATGCCGTCGACCAAATAAATTGCCGGCCAGAGTCGCGTTTCGACCCTCTGACAGTAGCCTGCGGCTGATGTGAGCCGTGTACTGGTGGTGGTTTAACGGCATTCTTGCACCGGTCCACCAGGACTTTTCTTGATGTATCGGGGGCCACGGTGTGGCCAGATTCAGTTTTTTTTTTGGTTGTTGCCAGGTTCAGCTGACGAAGTCCAGGTGTGAATCCGCCCATGGTTCATTAAGCTTGGTCTTACTGCAAAGATTTGGTTCTTCCGGAATCCAGACTTCTCTTGTTCCTTTTTTTTTTTTTTCAGTTTTTTCCAGTCAATCTGTCTATAGCTGATTTCCAGTTTCTTCCAGTCATGATCTATAGCCAAAGATTGCCTGTATACAGTCGAGCTATCTTCTCGATGATTACTTTCCCGATATTTGTTTTTATCTTGGATTTGCATTGCATTTTTTAACTTTTATGCAACATGCGTGTTTTTCCATTCATTAAATCACCTGTGCGCTTCCCAGCCTTCCCTCCCCCCCCCGCCCCCCTTCTTTGAAGCCTTTTTGCAAGGCAGCTATCCCGGTGGTGGTGAGAGAACCACTAGGATTGAGGCCTTGTGGAAACAGGGTCGAGCGTCCCATGGATGCATCCATTCAATGTAGTCTTTGTTTCCCATTGGTTCTCAGCCCTGCTGCTGTGTGACACGGCATGCATGCCGCAGCAAGTTTCGGTGGTTGACCTACCGGAACAAAGTGGCTGCCACTGCCAGCCATAAGGAAACCCGCACCAGTTCTGTCTTTTTTTGGCGCACAGGGCATTTCGAGCCTTGTGAAAAAGAGGCTGGGATGTAGTGCTGGTAAAAAAAAACACCAGTTCACACTGTGACGCCCAACATCACGCCCAGCGTGACTTCCTGATCGGAGCGGGAGCGGGCCCAGGAGTTGCGAAAAGGGGGTGTGTCAAGGATTTTAGGAAAAGGGGGTGGAGTCCCAGGTTGGAACTGGGATCTCTGGTGTCAGGGTTCTAAGGACGAAGATGCAAAGACGCTTGGATGCAGAAGGGGCTTTCTCAGTTCGCGGCGCAGGATGGCCAGACCGTCGCCTAGGACAGATCCCTAGGTGGTACTTTTGTCGTGTAGCTTCGGCGCAAGCTCATCGGGCGATAGGGGCAGTCGTGATCGAGAAGAGACAGAATTCTACGCTAAAGGTTCGTGCTGATGCTGCCGTTCCTATCCATGCAGAATGGTACTCACAGGCCAGACGGGGATGAATTATGTGAGCGCGTGTATACACGTGATGGGCTGTGCTGTTGGCGGGTTGTAGCGCATATGCGGGATCGCATAAGATCCCTTGCCCAGACAGCCCAAGACGACCAACGTCATGATTTCACATCGATTCTAGCGCACTACTGCTAGACATGCATCCATGCTTTCCAACCATAACCAGGAAGTGGGCATGCAAAATTGAAACGATCAAAGCTACAATCATCATACCCAACATCATTATTCATAAAGGAAATAGATGTGAGAGGTACTCCGAAGAAAGAAAAGGATTTACACAATCAGGTATCAATCCACAATTACAACAATGGGAATGACGAAAACCGAAACAGAAAATTCTGGGAGGGCCAGGAGAGAAATTCCCACACATCCCAGCACCCCACGCTCTGTCACTACTTCACCATCCCCCTCCTTGTTCTGATGCAGGCTGTCCGTTGCCTCGCACCTTCAAGCAACTCAGAGTTGCCACCCGCTTAGTTCGAGTACGAACGCGGGGTCCGCCCGTGCTCCACAGTCCATCGTGGCCGCACGTCAAACCCGGCACACTCGCAACCAGCTCGTGAGATCACCCAACTCCAAACTCACCTCTTCATCTGCTCGTACTCGTTAGCCGATCCTCTTGACCACGCTATCCTTCCCTGGTTTGATAAGAGAGCGATTTTGTTGCGCTTGCGAAATTTATATCAATCAGCATTTGTGCGGGATAGCCGGGATTACACGAAGGCAAGGGGAGAGAGAAAAGAAGGAGGTGCCTACGGCCGGCATGCCTAGGCCACGACGCGGGGGACGTAGCCACTTTCCACGCATCGATCCAGTCATGCACCGCTTTGGCCAATGAGTCGAAGGGAAAGAAGCCGCATGTTTCGGCGCGCAGAGAAGCCAAAATCAAGAAGATTACAGTTGAGATTAGAATTAAGGCGCGGCGGGAGTAGAGTGCGGGACAGAGCGTAGCAAAACACGCGCGACTAAGGAGCACCGTGCAGTTACGAACAAGAAATACAATGTCCACAAAATCCTAGTCTAATTAGAGTGCTAATTCCGATTGTCTGCGCGGTCTCCCACATTCTTTCCAAAGCGTTCAAAAACTCAAAAACATTTTCCTGTGCGATGACCGCGCCGAACTTCCCTGCCCAAATTCCCAAAAGAAAAAAAGAAGAAGCCGCGTCAACCGTTATTCCTGCTCTCGCGAAGGCGCGTCTGGAACACCAACCGCCATGGGGCCAAGTTCTCGCAGAACAGTGAGGAAAGAAAAAGGAATGGGGGCACGTGTGCAATTTGATCAAGCCCCTCCTCCCCCCCAAAGGTGTAATTGTGCACATGACATGCAGAAAGCCGCACTTATCAGAAGATGATTGTCACAACACCATTCTAAGTTGATGGTGCTACCTTCCAAGGCTTGGACCCCACTGGGCGGCGGCAGAAAACGTTTTGGTGCGGAAGGCCATTTTGGGACCCCACTGGGCTGCCAGGAAAGCAGTTTTTCCAACCGCCAAAGTGTAATTTGCAACCCCACTGACCCAAAAAAAATGCTTGGAAACATTCTGCAAAGTGTTTCCACATGGGTGACGGCTGGACAAATCACCGCCAAGTCCGCCATTTCTTTCCCAAACACAGCGCCCAGCAGAGTTAGCGGGGGGCATCTCCGCCGATGGCATTGGAGGCCGGGAGGGCGTGGCCCAGTTGACGGTGCAGGGGACCATTTTGTGTTGGACAGTCCTTACCGAACTTACCTACTGGGTAGGGATCCCGTCGGGTTTTCCTTTCTGAGAAAGGGGCATCGCCGCAAGTCCCCGTTTTTCGCTGGGGCAGTGGGATACACTTGATGTCTGCCAATTTCTTTCCAAACGCCTTTGCCCGTCCTTTGCGGCCAACCTGCTTTTCCACCTGCTGGCAGTGGGTCCGTGCCCAAGGCTCGTGAGGCTGCAACTGTTACAATATTCATTATGCAGGTCTTTTATGGTAAAAAAATCTCCACTGCAGATATGGCAAGACTCCTTTTCTTTTGTAAGAGTCCGAGGGCAGGGAGCACATGCGCCCTCCTTTTTCTTCTGTTGGCAGGCCAAGGGGTGCTGAAGAGGAACAGAGTCCCTCGCGACATTCCGTTAAAAGGATTGGAACGACACAAAAAATATTAGCATGGGGCCGGCGACGCAAGGATGACACGGAAAAATTGAGAAATGGTCCAAATTGTTGCATACATAGCTGGTGTTGCCCCCTATTGTTAAAAGAAGAATGGAATGCTCGACAAGATGGTGGAAGATGAAAAGACCCCGGGGTTGGACTCCTTTCCCAAGGAGTCCTGGCTCCAGTTGTCGGAGCTCCTAAGCCAAATGACATTATGGAGTACGCGGAGACAGTCCAGAAGGAAGTAACAGTTGGGGACCTCATCCGCCAGGGTGTTACCACCATTCTGTATTAAAAAAAAAAGGGACAAAGAAGACACAAGAAACTACAGGCCTGTCACTCTCCTACCCTTTTTTTTTTTTTTTTTTGCTCTGTCGGGCTGCTCCATTTATTGGTGGGGAGTGGCACCTGCTGGAAAC